CCTAGTAGGTCTAGGTACTCATGCCCACTATATGTGCGTTTTGCATATTGCCTATTATTCAGGTTGAGACAACCTTATAGTCTAGTGAGGTTCCTTTAGTGTGTGTGTGTATATATATATATATATATGGACTACTAGTTACTGTTGGATTGACTAGGATGTATATGTGTATCGAATCTCTGCTTGGACTGTAGTGGAGTAGAACTTGTTTGTGGGCCTGACCCACCATTATTTTTCAGGTGTTCGTCAGGAGTAGAGGTTATTCGTGCTAAGCGAGGATCAGTCTACTTCATTCTTCCGATGCTACATAGGAGTTCCTTTATGATTTAGTGTCCTGATTAGACAGTTATTGCTGTCACTTGTTTAGTTTGGATTTTCTAGGGGTCCACACAGTATGGATTCCCGAGTTGTATTTTGAAGAATCAGTTGTATCAGAAGAGTTTATTAATTAATGGAAATATATTCTGAGGTTTATTATTAGATTATCATTTTAGTTTCTTGTCAGCATTTTATTTATTCTTCTTTATTCTTTTGTACTCTGTGTTCGTTTATTATCAATTTGTTTTGATATCCTCGGGTATTTGGGCGTGGGCCTGGCCAACCCGCATTCAGAAATCCGGGGGTATCACATAACACCTGCATACGTGTTAGATCTACGCGTAGATATGTTAAGACTGGTTAGGTCAATGCAATGACAACCACGACGCCGTTTTGCTAAAAGATGAAGATGGTGACGACCATGATGACCGAGATTTGTGAGAACGGGGCTAAAGAGAGAGGATGGAAACGTGTGTTCCTGAAACGCAGATAATAGAGATGAAACTGGTCAACATGCTTCTTCAGTGGCGAGGACGATCGTCGTCGAGACGAGGATGGTGAATGTCCATCGCTGGTTGACTAGTTGGTGTGGTTGTCTGGCGTGGGAGTGACGATTGGAGCACCTCCACTGAGACGACAGAGAGGTGGAAGAGATGCGATAGACAATAGGAAAGAGTGGGTTCAGGCTGTGGCTGTAGGCTCTGCTTTGGACACGTTAAATTAGAGGGAATTGTCTAAAATGGTAATTTTACATTGCCTGATTTTTTTAATATTATTTTATTTTATTAACAAGATGGTATTAATGTCTATTTATGCAAGTAAGGGCGTAATTGCACCAAATTAATAGTATATGAAAGTTTTATACCACACATGAACTTTTTTGCACTATATCTATAGTGTAGAGGAATTTTTTTTTTTTTTTTTTTTTCACTTAACCCTACTATTAAATTGAGATTTTTTATGATAAATATTAAATTAAAATTTTAACACATTTATATAATTATTACATCATTTAAAGTAGTTAGTTAACAATATAAAGTACTTCGTAGATGTTATGTCGATTTAAAAAGAGCAAAAACATACAGGGGAGATCTTCTTTCCACTCGAAATGGAAAAACACATGATACGTGTCGGAATCAGAATGGTACTGATCGAGAGTGGGGCTCGCATCCATAGGGGTGGCCACGGATCGGATCGGATCGGATCGGATTAGGCATAAATCCTAATCCGATCCGTTCGCAACGGATTGGGAGATTTTGAATCTGCCACCAATCCGTTAGCCCACGGATAGGATCGGATCGAATCTGTGAAATAACGGATCGGATATGATCCAATCCGCGGATCTCATCCTTCATCTCCATCTCCATTTTCTTCTCCGATCTCCTTTTAGGGTTCATGTGGTTACGCAGTCTTTTCGCATGCGTCCAATCCACCGTCGGGAGTTCCCGGAAAACTTGACAGAGCACTCACGAGCAAGAAAGATTTTACGGGGTTGGACATGTTTATATGCGAAGATCCATACAAAGAGCCACCCATGAGTGTCGTGAACATGGCCTTATCGGTGATGGCTTATGATTATCCGGCATAGAAGCTTTCAGTGTATGTCTCAGACGATGGAGGCTCTGAGTTAACTCTCTTTGCTTTGATGGAGGCTGCTAAGTTTGGAAGACACTGGTTATGCTTATTTCAGATCCAACTACCCAAAAGATGAAGCTAATAGCTATGTGTGTTTAATAAATTATTTTTCTGATTTCTCTTTGCTCAATAAATCTGTCGGTGGTCCACTGGTCAGGTAATAAATAATAAATAAATAATTATATTATATAATATTAATATATATATATACGGATTAGCCACGGATAAGATCGGATTTTTGACAGGCTAATCTGTAATCCGATCCGTAACTACGGATTCACATTTTTTAAATCCACTACCAATCCGTGGGTTTAGCAATCCGATTCGATCTGTACGGATCGGATCGGATCGAATTTACGGATTTGTGAATTTTTTACCCAGCCCTACGCATACATATTATCAAAGCCTTCTTCAGAAATCGCGCACGTGCTGCACGTGATCCAGAGAATTCCCCTCAGGTTTCGTATGCCAGAAGAGGACCACGTGTCCCATGACCCATGTCGGCGCGAAATGGACGTCGCTCTATGTCGCGCGTGACACTGTGGCAGTTAAAATGGAGCCTCTAGAACTCAATCAATGTGACGGAACTGCCCCTACCATTTTATCGCGTCTATGATGCGTTTATTGACTCAGAAGTTGCATAGATTTGTTATACAAACTACAATGACATAAATGCCCTATCTTAAGCAGCAAATTGTGTGTGTTTTTTTTTTTTTTTTTTTACCCTTTTCCGATAATTAGACAGGAACTTAAAATTATATTTATTATTTGGTTAAAAAGATTAGACCAACCTTTCAAAAAGGAAAGGAAAAAAAAAAAAAAAAAATTGATTAGACCATCCAGACTAATGTACCTTTGTTTTTACAGATTTATTGTTTTTCTTCGCATTTTATTTTATTTTTCCATTTTAGCCCTAATATTCAAATTCATATGCTCGGTCAGCTATACATTTTTATAGATGATAAAACTTGAAATTTGTTTTTTAAATCTCTAGATTTAAAATAGGAGAAAAAGCGGGAGTAAAAATATTATTAATTTTTTTTTCAAAATTCCTTAACTAAAATTTAAATATTGACAAATGAACTGAGTTCAAATTCGTTTGATTAAAAGCGTGTGAATAATGAATATTTACATGAATTTTTTTAAAAAAAAAATTCAAAAACCAAAAACAACCTCAAATATGCCAAACTCTACAAAGCTTTAAATCCGTCTGCTCTAAGCATCTTGAAGAAATTGAGACAACAAAATTTTAATGATTATCCTAAAGTTTTTGACCATACTAATGCTAATGTTAATTGTGAATTTCCAAGCATATGCTAATGCTTTACAGGTAATATCTCTTAATTTAGAATGCATTTATTAGTTGCATGAAGCCTAATAAATTCATTGGACTTCCTTTTGCATTGAATGAAGGTCAGTACACCTGCCTCTCTGATCACAAGCATTTACTCGTATCAACCAAATTAACAATTGTTCTCTCCATAGCCCAACGTGAGTTTTTATCGTACCTAAGTTAAGTATAGTCAGAATGAGTGTAAAAACGTGAAAATGATAAAATTTAAATTATACACTAGAATAACACCTTTTTAAAAAAATCATATGATTTAAATTATACTTACCCAAAAAAAAAAAAAAAGTACTCATTTACTTTAAATATCTTAATCTTGCTTGAATATATCAACAGATTTATTTCAAAATACTTTAAAAGCTATTACCTGAAATTAAATTCTTTTTTCTTTTAAGTCAATATCATTTACGTAGTAGAAAACTATGATCAATAATTAAATTTATTCTTAAAAAAACTAAATCAAATAGGTATTAATTCACTACTAAGTACGATTGACAAATTCTAAATAAAAACAACCAAAATAACGAAAATTAGATGACATTAAGTCAGTCTCTCATCTAAAACGTGCTTATTTATTAGTTACACGTTCATTTATGAGATGTCTAATCCCAATTCATATAGTATTTTTTTTTCTCTCCTCACTTAATTAATGTACATGTATATATATATATGTAAATAACTACCTTCATATACGTATAAATTTTTTATTTCTATTTTTTTCTCTACCCACTTAATCAATGTACATGTGTGTGTGTATATATATATATATTTCATGTCATGCTATATATATATATATAGTTAAAATATAATTTTATAAAAAGAAATAAAATACTAGTAATCAATTCTCATAATGTTACTCGTTTCGGCAAATCCAAAAACAAACAAAATAATACGAAGTGTGATTATAGGAATTGAACTTAATCCATATATAGTGCACACACATACATATATATAGTTAAAATATAATTAAAAAAAGGAAATAAAATAATCCATTCCCATAATATTATTTGTTTTGGCAAAACAAAAAGAAAGAAAATAATATATTTCCTTTTTTTTTTTTGGTAATGATACAAGGGATAAAACTAAGGAGAGAATAAAATATAAAAAATAAGAAAGGGTTAAAGGGTAATTTTGTCTTAAAAATTTATATTTTTAATTTTCTTGAAGGCAGGAAACATCTCATAAATGACTGCAATTAACACTCCTTTAAATAAAAATAAATACGTGAACCTCCTAAATATATCTTTTTATAAAAAGAAAAAAAGAATAAAAAAAGCACAAAACTATAAATTATACAAAGATTGCCATGCTTGAATGTTTTTTTTTTCATTGTCCTTTATTAATAAAGATAATTCTTAAGTTTTCATTTGTAAAGATGTACTCTATCATGACCGTCCTCATCACTAAATATGCATCTCATATGTGATTTGATAACTAAAGAAACATGTCAATTTGTTATTATTGGTCCATATTAGATCAGCTAATGCAGTATGATCGTCCATTAAATAAATTTACGAATGTAAGGTAAAACAATGAGTTTATAACAAAAAAAATCTCCAATAAGTCAATAACAATCTTGAAATTTTAATTGCCAATTCAAGCGGTAAACGAAGGGTGTTCATGTAATTTCAATCCCTCGCTCTCTTTCCTCCTTGTCTATAGCATATACTTGCTGTCACCTCCTCACAGTTCACACCCTCCACAATTTTACCTTTTTCAAAAGCACACAAGAATGTCATTGCTCGCTTCATCATTGTAACCTCCGAATCCCTCCCAACTCTTTCCTCCTTCAAATTCCTGTGATAACCACGTTTATACTCTCTCTCTTTCTCTCTCTCTCTCTCTCTCTCACACACACACACACATGAACGCATTCGTTCAGTGCTCTCACTAAGGAGGTTCTGTGGGAATGGTAAGGATTCCTTCAGCCATGGACTTGAAAAAACTTGCATTCCCAGATCAGTTTCCTTACTCTGTATCACCCAGAAGGAAAGTGGTTTCAGGGTTTGGTTTGGGGGTTCTGGCTTTTTTTATTGTTTTATGTATTTTATTTTTCAATATCTCATATAAGGTTCCAATATTTCACGGGTTTAATAACAATTTTGGTGCCAATAACACTTCGATTATTTCTTGGCCTTTCTCATTTTCAAGCACTGCATCTTTTTCTTCTCTCTCTTCTTCTATAACTAGTAGTAGTGCTGGTTCTAGTACAACTTCTTCTACTATTACTACAGATGTATCAGAAATTGGTAAAAATGGAAGTCTTTTGGTTACTGATGGAAATGGAATGGTTTCCAAGAATACCCATGTGGGAAATTTCTCCGGGGAGGTCAAAAATGGAAGTGCTGCAGTTGGAGAAGGAATGGTTCAAGAAAATACCCAAGTAGATGAGCAAGTGTTTGATAAAAATGGAAACTCTTCTAAATCTAATGGGGAAGGAATGGTTTTGGAGAATACCCATTTGGGGAATTTCTCTGAGAAGGGGAGGAATGGAAGCTTTGTTGGTGGAGATGTGATTGGAGAGAAAGGAATTGAAGGGAAAGTCTTTGAGGGAAATGGAAATGGAAGTTCTGTTGGTAAAGTTGTTGCTTCTACAGAAAATCCCAATGTTGGGAAAAGCAAGGTCACTGAATATAGCAGTGTGGGCAATCTGGATATGAACAATCAAGGAATTGGGAAAAATAATGTTACAATCTCTACTTTTGATTCTCAGATGAAAATGCAAAAGGGTTTGTTTGGGGAATGTGATATCTTTGATGGTAGATGGGTCAGAGATGACACGAAGCCATATTATCCTTCAGGGTCCTGCCCTTACATTGATAGGGATTTTGATTGCCATCTTAATAGGAGACCAGATGATGGGTTCCTAAAATGGAAATGGCAGCCATATGGGTGTGACATTCCAAGGTAAGACCTATTTAATTGCTTTGGCTGATTCTTTGAATACATATGATTAAAATATATATATATATATATATATATATATATATATATATTAATCATTTTCAGTGACATAATTTTGATGTATGTATTTAGATAAACTGAACATTGTGTGTGAATTACATGGTTTTTGTAAATTGTAAGAGTCATTTATGTTTTAGAAATTTACCAAAAAGATCTAGATTTCAGAAATGAATTAGTTGAACCCCAGTATCCTGTGTTTTGAACATGTCAAGTGCACTCACCATGGTTCCCTATAAATATGAAATTAAGGAATAGCTTGTTTTGCAATTGAAGTGCCTGAATTAGTTGCTTACTTGCTTGCCTATAAAAGACTCATTAGGAATTAGCATGTCAAAGTATAGATGGTTTGGATGAAATATGAAGCTTAACAAATAGAGTAGTAATTATGAGAAATGCTATTTGGGAGTGAACACATTTCAGTTTGCATGAAGAGGATTTTACACTTAAAACGCCAGTCTCGATGTGAAAATTTTAATGGTCTGAGTTATGGAATGAGGTTTTTTCTTCTCTGTTGACGACTGATAGCTACTGTTATCCTCAGTTTGAATGCAACTGATTTTCTGGAAAGGCTGAGAGGGAGGAAGCTAGTTTTTGTTGGGGATTCACTAAATAGGAACATGTGGGAGTCTCTTGTTTGTATCCTCCGCCATAGTGTCAAGAACAAGAAAGGAGTTTATGAGATATCCGGGAGGACAGAATTCAAAAAGAAAGGGATCTACGCATTCAGATTTGAGGCAAGCTTTCCAAACTACCTGATATAATTATATGGAATTTTTATTTTTTTATTTTTTTATTTTATCTTTAATCCATATATTCCTGACTAACGTGCAATGGTTTGGCTATTTTTGTAGGAGTACAACTGTTCTGTGGATTTTGTTAGTTCTCCATTTCTTGTCAGAGAATCATCTTTCAATGGTAGAAATGGTTCTTTCGAGACACTAAGATTAGACTTGATGGACCAGACAACTTCAATGTATCATGATGCCGATGTTGTAATCTTCAATACAGGCCATTGGTGGACTCATGAGAAAACGTCTAGAGGGTAAGTGCTATGATTTTGTTTATTGGATACATGCATCCATGGACTATGGCTTTATCTATTTGTAAATACCTTATTTCCTATAGACTCAGAGATCTTTCATCAGTTTCTCATCTCATAATGTTAGATGAAACCAAAAATAAAAAGAATGAAAAAGAAGAAGAAGAAATTCTAAATTGGAAAAAAAAAAGTTGCACAATTATTGTTTCAAAATCTCCCGCTAGTTGTTCCCAACCTCATATTACCAAATCACAACTGTTGGTTTAAATTACGTGCATTTTTTTGGTTTTACAGAGAAGACTATTACCAGGAAGGTAATATTGTCTACCCAAGACTCAAGGTCCTACAAGCATACAAGAAGGCACTTAGTACTTGGGCTAGATGGGTTGATAAGAACTTTGCTGGCAGCAGAACTCAGGTCATCTTTAGAGGATATTCAGTGACCCATTTCAAGTATTACACTGTCTCTTACCTTTGATCATTATTGGATACCTTTATATCAGTCTTTTTTTCATCTTCCAATATTATACTAGCTGTTATTATGATTGCAATTTCTCTTTCCATATCTTGAAAGTCAAATTATATTATTCATGAATTTTGGTGCTTGCATTCACTTGGATTGTCTGGCCTTGCTTTCCCACTAATTTGAATAAAATTTTAGGATTTTCTGGTAACTGTTGGATTCTTCTATAAGCTTGCCGGTAGTTGGACATTGTAGGATTTTTTTTTTCCCCCTTAGTAACTCCTACAATACACTTGGATCCTCTACTTTTGCTTTGAAAGGGGAGGAGTTACCACTAGGCCACAGACGTTGGTAGTGAGTTGACGAAATGTGCTAAAGAATGGAATTAGTGATAACAAATTTAAGAAAGGTTCAAATAGGGAAGAATCAATGCAATCTTGGTGGTGGCAGTGTTTTTCTATCATTTTATAATTATCTTGAGTAATCAGTTAATCTTGGAATATTGTGCATTGATTCCTTGTGTTCTCAGAACAATTGTGAAAAACCAAATTTTGGTTTGTGCGGAAATGATATCATTTGAATATAATGAGAGAAGTGCATCCTACAGGACTTGTCCGAAGATCAGAAATGCTGTCACGTTAAAGCTGAACTAGAATGAAGAAGAACTTCAAATTATAAAATGCGTGATGAGCCCACTGTGCAGATAACCTGATGTAGTTGACACGTATGGGTACGAATTTGCTTTGCTAACTGTTGAAAACATACCCAAGCACTAGACAATTGGTAGAGAGAGCATTTCATCCTAGTTCATAAGAAGTTGCTTGGAACTTTCTTGACATGGTTCTCCTAATTGTTAAGACTCATTTGGGATTGGACAAGTTTCACAAAAATGCTTCTTTTTGATCCGGGGGGAGTAGGTTGCTTATGGCTGTTATGTCACTGCAATTCTATATGAGGTAGATTGGCTCCATGTGGTTTGGGTTCAACCTGCTCACATTGCAGGCTTTTTGCCTAAAGTGGATATCTATACCTATTGGTTATTTGTATTTGCAGTTAGTGATAGGAGCCAAATGTTTGCTAATTTGCATCAAATATTTGTGGGAGCATCCTACGATTTTGTAAAACACACTGTTGGCCTTTTGAGAGTTTATGAGACCACCATCAAGAAGTGCCATTGAAAAAAATATGATCTGCGATTGTTGTCCTTGTATATTTGGATGTCCATTGTGACAAATACTAATGTTCATTATCTAGGACCAAATAAGTGCTTATTGCTCATGAAATCCTTAGATATTAGAGTGGATCCTTGGTTAATAAGTTATTTTGTTGGTCGGTTAATTGCTTACATTTTGTTCATGATTGGGGTTTAGATCTGCTCTTCGTAGACAAACTGGGAATTTGTGATCCCAGGTAAGATTAGTTCAGTATCATTGGATCCACTTTTATAAGATAAGAAGAACTGTTGCACAATTAGATCCTTTATCCATCTATATGAAGAAAAATTTATTTATTTTAGAGTGACCTCATACAATAAGTTCATGTATTATATAAGGACTAGTCCCTTTAATGATAGGAAGATCAAATTTAATCCGTCCTTATTCTGCAAGTTTGTCCCTCATGCAGCAAGGCATGAGCAGCAATTTGGTGAAGACCAATGTATAGAAAAGCATCTTCATTCTTTCATTTCAAGATCGGACTATTGTTAGTTCAATACGTAGTATAATTATAGATATTGGCCTGGACTTATACATCAAGAACGGGAGACACTTGTCCATTGCTTGGGAAATGAATCTGTTGAGGGCAGCTGCTCTTCCTGTTAGTCATTGGGCTTCAAGTCAGATTCATCCAAGTGATTCAGTTCTCAGACTGAAGACAATCACTTGGATGAATCTGAGCTTGCTCGAGTTGCCCCACTGCCTTGTTTGCTTGGGTCCACCTGTTTTTCCTATATGCTACCCCCAACTGTGCTGTGATTGGCATATGGAGGATTGTCTTTCCTTGAGTCACACCTGCCATTTCTCTAAAGCCTTTTGGTTTGGCTCGTCTTCTCCTTTAACTGCTGCATTTTAGTAGCTTTTGGCCTAGGCCTCATCTCCCCTTCCTACCATTGCCCTGTTTGAATGTGCAAAGCTGATGCTCTGGTGATAAGTTGAGGGAATGGCCTACATCTCACAGTTTCAAGGCCTTCCTATGATAACATTGTTGGGGGAATCGACTTGTCAATAGATTTAGCTCAAATTGGTACCATAATTCTTCCAAGAACGCAGGATGATGCCCTGTTAAATCCGACCACTGTTTCTCAGTTGAAAATGAGGTTTGATTGTTTTAGTCCAAATTTGCAAAATAGCTTAGGTGGAATGAATCTCCTAGCTCTCCATGTCGATGATACTCTCTTCACATCAAAGGTGCAAATTACTTGTGATTATGAAGTTCCTGCAATATTCATCTAAATATTTACTCTCAAAATGAGTGCATTACTTGACAATTTTTGCTGCTGCCGTTCACATTGTCAGTGACCTCTGAGAATTATCTGAATCAACAAAAATATATTGAAAGATTTTACTGCAGAATTACTTTGCTAAATTAGTTTAATCCAAGTGAATCACAGACTCACAGTAGAATAGTATAACAAAGTGTTTGATGTGATTGCAGGGGAGGCCAGTGGAACTCAGGAGGGCAGTGCCACAAAGAAATTGAGCCAATCTTCAATAAAACTTATTTAGCAAAGTACCCTTCAAAGATGAGAGCTCTAGAACCTGTGCTTCGAAAAATGAGAACTCCTGTTATATACTTGAACATAAGCAGGCTTACAGATTACAGAAAAGATGGCCATCCTTCAATTTACAGAAAGGAATACACCACGGTAGAAGAACAAATTGCAGCCGAGCAGTCACAAGATTGCAGTCATTGGTGCTTGCCTGGAGTACCAGATGCTTGGAATGAGTTGCTATATGCTTCTCTTTTAAGGGCCGGAAAAGGATCTTGGAGAAGCTGAACGGAAATTTACACGAGTCAAATGTGACATAATAATAAAAAAATGTTGTCCTTTTCTTTTTCTTCCATGTCTCAATCATGTTTAATGTAAGTTGTTTGACTAGATGCCTAGATATATGTTGAGGCAGATGAAAATTGTGATCTGTCGAGTTCTAGCTTATGCAAATCCAGCAGATGTAAAGTAGAGATGAATTGATGTATATTCTTTCAACTTTAATTACAAATATCAGGAGATGTTCTTCATTTCTTTTTGGAAACAAAAGTTCATTAATTTGATTCATTTCCCAGATGAATGTCATGGATGCAACCACAGAATCACTTTTTATGAGTTGGTTAAGCAGAAAAGGACATGGTTGATTAGGAAGACTTTATTGTGATTTTAAATTCAGTTGTTTTTGAGTTTATTAATAGAGTCCAGAAACAGGAATGAACTTTGTTTTGCTGTTGTAATTTATCTCGAGTTATAGTCTGGAAACTCTGCTGTACAGCACCCGCGCTATAAAGCAGTGGACGGTATAGATCAAAACACGCGCTACTTGAGCTGTACAACGGCGGTGGTTGCTGTACAGAAGAGGATCTTAATTCCCAGAGCAGACATATTATCAGGATTGGTTCCATTTTACTCTGAATTAGTAAATGCAGCTCAAGGGAGAATTAAAGCCATACAGAGAAGGGAGTGAGAGTTTAAGATACTTGCAGTTTGATATCCCATACAAGTTGAGAAAGATCTGTATTGTTTTCAGGGCATATGAAATGTGGTCAGTCATGGCGAATCAGTGGTGACTCGCTCCATTTTTCTGTCTGTGGTTCTATTTTGGGTTATAGATCTGAGTTTACTGCACATGAAAGTGTTTCGAAATCAAATTGGAGATTCCCATGCATGAGAGAGAGAGAGAGAGAGAGCACAAACACACACATAGTGGCATTTTGGCAGGCCAGTGTACTACTGCAAACAGACTTTTATTACACAGAGTCATGCAAAAAACTACACAACAAAGAAAACATAGCCATAAAGACTCATAAACGAGTCCATTGCCGTTCTGTGACTTGCCGGTTTGCAAGGCATCAGCCAATGCATCTGCCATATTTGGGAGGTGGAAGCTGCTGCTTCTTCATGCACATAGGTGGTGGCGGCGGCTAGCAGTAGCAGAGCAGATGGCTAAAGCAAAAGCAAACTGTCTGAATTTGGAGGAGGGCAAGGAACCCCACACTCCAAATGCCATATGCCTTTCAAGACCCATGGATGGATTCAATCTCATGCCAATACATACATACTCATATCTATCAGTCTCTCAAGAAACTGATAGATTTGGTTTTTTATTTTATAATCCTATCCAAAGGGTTCTTACAAAAGCTAGTGGAGATGTTAGTCTCTGCCCATTGGCCTTAAATAGCTGGTGATTGTGAAGTGGTGATTAGAGCAAGTACTGATTAAATCATTATCCAAACCAATCACCATGAAAGTTGCTTTATTTAAAAATAAAATAAAAAAGACCCTCTAAATTATGTGTAATTGTTCCACTGTAGTGACACTCTTGCCCTTCACCTAATTATGTGACATTTTTTAACAACTACTCCTAACAATTTAGTGACAGTAGGTTAATGGACCCTCCACACACCCTATAATTGGAGTCTTACTTTTATGTAAACTTTTAAGTATATTAGCTTCTACAAGGGCAAAGGATGATCATAAGAAGATGGTACTTGTTGATGATAAGTCATGTTAACTTTGCAGTTTCTGCAGATATATATATACACACACACATTGGAAACATAGAAGCCATTGAGGACATAGATGTCCATAGAATAAAGTTGAAGTCCCACAGGACAACTTTTTCTTGGCGCATTACTTTTGATTATTGGAGTCTTTTTCTTCCATGGTGTTGTACCAGTGAATCCACTAACTCTTGCTCATCCACAACTCAAAAATCCTCCTAATTTCCCACTAATCCGGCATTACGTGGCGCCTAATCCTAGCTTCAACTTTTTGATGGACCAACATGGTGCTAAATGATAATGCACTTAGTCAACTCTCAACTGAACCAAATTTGACAACCTATTCTTGAGTTTCTTCCACTTGCTTGCTTCACCAGTTGATACCTCTTTTTTCTATGAACCAAACTGAATCAATCTTTTAGTTTCAGAGGGTCCTTTATAGAGGGTTTTCTATACTTGCTCCAATTAGTGACAAGCCCAAGTGGCCATGTGAATCATGTGGATTAAAGTGGGAAAAAAGTTTCATGGCTTGAACTTAGTTAAGAGAGTCATTTCTCTCTCTCTTTTTTTATTTTTTATTTATTTTTATTTATTTATTTTTTAAATATATTTGTATTCATCTTCTTCTGTTCAAGACTCCATTTGACTGTACCTTATGCAAAAAGGCAGTGATCTCCTCCTCAGAAATGCACCCAATAATTCACACTTTAGACTATCCACTCATGCTTCTTCTTTTATTTTTATTTTTATTTTTATTTTTTCTGAGACTTTTTCTTTAATGTAAACAAGCAATCACTACTTTTATGTTTCTTAAAAGAATCTCAATTTGTCCACCTATTTACTACTTCAATTAAAGTCTTAATGTTATGGTAGCCTACATCATGAATCAATCTTCTTCTAATGTAATTTGGAAAGATTATCTATGCCTATTATTATAGAATGAACATGCCACTTTAGGTAAGGTGGGAAAAGGTGGGTTGATGAGAAATTTTAGATTCAGCCACTTGAAATGACTGAAATGACCATAGTCTCATGGCTAGCTTATTGGTTAATGACTCAGTTTTTGTGGAAGTTTAGATTGCGTTCCTTATAGGATAATTATTGATCTTGTAGTTGCAATCATATCACCATTAGCACCATCAACCTCTCTAGTAGTCACACGAAATTAATTGCATCTTTGAATTAAGTTGCCATAGTGACTTCAAAACTGGGACCCTTCTTTTAATTATTCTCTTTCAGTAGTTTTGTTTTCACATCTTAAAAATAATCTAAAACACTCTCACCCACTCTAAGAAATCACAATTCCAATCACATTTTTAGAGGATAAAAAAAATAAAAAATGTTTGCAATTGATATATTAATCATTTGATATTTGATACAAACTTCATTTCACTATCAAAACTATATAGACAGAGCTAAGCAAGCATTCAAAATAACAAGTCATTTTTCAAACAACTCTATTCTATAATTGGGTGGCAGTGTTGGGAGATCCTCCATTCACTATATTTTGGAGTCAATTTACGAATATTCTACTTGGAATTGTAATTACAAAGCATTAGGTGACTTAGATAGTTGTAAATCTGTCGGACAAAATGCCCCTTTTTCGATCACCTCAGATCCATTTGGAATTTTTTTTCCGATTACCTCAGATCCATTTGGAAATTTTTTTTTGATAATATTTAGAGAAGGAAGATTTTTTTTTTTTTTTTTCATTTATTGCTCTCCAAGGAGAGGGTTTTGGAACATTGGATGGTTTAGGGAGCTAACTTGGCATCCATGTGCATCCTTGGGGTATTTATATACCGCCCTCAGCTTTTTTTAGTTTCTCTAGATTATTCTATAGTCGCCATTTCTAATTAATATTTTCTGTTTTTTAAATATTTGTATACATATTTTTCACATGTCATTTGTCTAGAATGATTCATCTAGAGTTATTATTCTGTCAAGTTTCTCCTCCTAAAATTTTTTAGAATTGGTGGACTAAATTTGTCTAGAATGACTCATCTAGAGTTAATATTTTCTGCTTTTTAAATATTTGCATACATATTTTTCAGATTTCATTTGTCTAGAATGGTTTATCTAGAGGTATTATTCTGTCAAGTTTCCTTCTAAAATTTTTTTAGTATAGTGCACCAATTCTTAATATTCTTCCTCTTGTCTTTTTTTTTTTTTTAAAGTAACTTTTATTTTGTATTGCGGATCTCATTATAAGGTTTTTTATTTGATGTATTCTCTCTCCAATTTAAATGTGAATCATTTTAAACAAATATAAATTATATAGAGAAAATTTTATATTCATATAAAATTTTCTTACTTAATAGCTAGCTACTTTTTAGCTTTGAAACCAAAATATCATTATAATCCCCAAAAACATGATGTTGCAATTACCATTATTAAAAAAGAAATAGTGATTATTTTATTTTATTTTTAAACCTTACTTTTATAATTTTTTATTTTTTATTGTAAAATAATTATCATACTGGGGATCTAAGATAATTATAAATACTTTCCATTATCCTTAAAATGTAAAGAATAATAATAATAATAATAAATGATAGTAGTGTAAGATATGATACAATTTCCATGAGTTTTTGGATAGATGTGGTGTGTTGTTTCTGAGTTTAATTTTCTGTATGGTCCTTGTACTTGTTCTGCATTAGTGTTTATAATAATAATAAATTTTTTTTTTTATTAAGGGTCCATATGTTTGAGTGAAAAATATTTTTCTTATAAAATGTTTTTTATCTATCACTTTTTCATTTGGAATGTTTTCTTTATTTTTTATTCTCTAGTGTATGGCAAAGATTTTGAAAAAAATTTTCAAAATTTTTTTTTGGTGTCTGGCTTCTAAAAGTAATTTTGAATTAAAATTAAAATTGCCATTGATATATTATTCAATTTTTCTCTTACTATCAATTGGTCCAATTATTTTTATACCAACAATAATAATTATTTGACAAGAAATATAAAAAAATAATCAATTGATTTTTGAAAAAATGATAAGGAAACAGGAAATAAGTCCCTCTATCATCAAATGCAACAAGGGAGTTTTTTTTTAATTTTTTTTTTCTCTACTTTACGTATCACTTTTTAGGGTTTTAGAAAATAATACTACAGGTCAATCACTAAATTAATAATGAAACAAAAAATATAATAATAAATACAAATTGAAGAAACTAAAAATAGAAAATGTTATGATTGTTGTTAAAGAAAAAATTGGCCTTGTGTCTTTCACCCCACAATAGATATTTCGCTTATGGCTATTATCTTAGTACCAATAGTAATTTTATTTCTAGTCACTATAGCACATATAAATAGGGATGTCAATTTTTACCGCCCTGCCGGAACCCTGCCCCGTCCCGCCTCGTTAATAACGGATATGGGAACACTTTTTATACCGTTGGGGCGGATATGGATACAAATTTTGTAACCGTTGCGGGTCATGGGGTGGGTAAGGGTTCAGTATACATATCCTAGGGGCCCCGCCTCGCTAAGCATATATATATATATATATATATATATATAATATTAATAACTTATCTTAGT